GGTGCGTTGTCTCAGTTCCCGTGGCTTCTCTGGGTAATTTCCGCATCAGTGCGGACCATGTTCGGTGAACTGTATGCCTGCAGGGTGCGTATCGGCAGATGCGTTTTTTGAGGGGAGGCTCACTTTCCGCGGATTCCCTGTTTGCACCGTACCGCGCTGGCGTCCCTCGAGGCGTCGTGGAACCCTCGACTCAGGAATGGCACGCTGCATCGTTTCTCGGCCCTCGGTGCCGAAACGCTGTACACCGCACCGCTTCGGCACCGCTCTCGCATGCTGATGACATTCGTGCGATGTTGCTCGAGCCAGGGCTGGACCTAAACGGTGTTTGGGCGATTTCGTTGGCGATTTTCGTTTCGCTTTCGTTTTGCGGTAAAGGCGGATTGAAAACAAAGCGAGGGAAAACGAAAACAAAACGAAAACGAAAAACACGGTTTAGGCTCAGCCTTGGTTTGAGCGCGTGTGCACCCCCGCCCGCGCGGCTTCAAGGCACCGCTACGTTTCGGCGGCGAGCCCAGGGTGGATATGCAGAGGGGGCAGGCTGTCTCATAAGGCTCGGAAGGCCTCGGGCCTTTCATTGTGGAGGACGATCAACGGAGAAGAAGCAGGCCGCCAAATAATTTCCAGATGTCTAAAAGACGTTTCAAACATGTTTTATTGCTTGTTACAGAAAAACACGTTTGAAACATGTTTATAATACGTTTTACAGAGTTAAAACACATCTTTAACTCAATGCTAGGATTGTTAGCGTGTCCATTGTCAGGGCTTCCACAAGCCTTTGAGAAGTTGCATGAGCCTTCTCCGGAGACAGAGGCGGCTTCTCAGCAAGCTGGGGGGCTTCCGAGAAGCCCCGCCGCCTTCTGAGAAGGCCTGCCCCCTTTCACTTCCTCCACGTGCGCGCCGCCGGGTGTCGTAGCGCGGCTGGGGGCCACTGGGCAGCCCTAGCCCGCGCAGGCGGAGGATGAAGTGAGGGAGCGGAGGAGAAGGATGAACGGGAGGATCAGGAGAACGGTAGGCGAGGAGAACGGGAGAAGGGCAAGACGAGGGGAAGGACCACTCTTGCTCCTGCCCTTCATCTTCCTCCTGAGTGGAGGAGCGAGGAGGGAGAAAGGTCCCCTTCACCTCTCTTCGGGGAGGAACGGTCATCACCAGGAGGGTGCGAATGAGATGGAGGAACGATTCGGGCCTTCAAGTGCCCGAGGTTTTCTCTGCTCAGGGGCCAGCTCACCTCTGCTCGGAAGGCGCCCCAAAGTGCCCAGGTCACCACCCCCCCTCGCCGTGGCCTCTTGCGGCCGGGCGGGGGAGGGGAAGAGGATGGCTGAGCAACGCACTCGGGGGCGCCCAAACGGGGTGGTGACCACACCGTGTGGTGAGTCGGTGGGGATTCGGGGTCACCGCACGGTTTTGGGACTCGGGGCGTTCTCCGAGGACGTCTCGGGCGACTGGGGCACCTGAGGTCCCAAGACCGTGCGGTGACGGACGGTGCGGTGAGGTCTTGTGGGATTTCGAGGTCACCACACGGTCTGTCACCGCACCGTTTCGGGACTCCAAGCGCACACACGCGGGTCTCAGGCAGGGGCCCGCGGGACAGGGCCGGCAGGCATGCGGGAAGAGGCAGACGGAGCTCAAGGGACGGGGGTCAATGCAAACGGGGGTCAGTCAGAGCGCCGAATCTTGCAGGATCCTGCAGGGCCAGGGGTGCACTGACCCAGGCTTGGGTCCAGGATCCTGCAGGATATTGCAGGATCCTGCAACGACTGACTGACCCGGGATTGGATTGATGCTGGTCAGTAGATCCCCGAGGCAGCAGCAAGCGTCAGGGACAACGCGTTTTCTGGGGGGCTTGGCTCAGAAGGGGATGCATCGACCCCGAGTCGCCCATTGTTCGCCGATAGCCGATAGGGGCCTGATAACTGAGATGTTACAAAAAACGCCGGGGTCGTGTTTCCTGTTTTCATGATTTGTGCTCGCCGTGTTGTTTCTGCTTGCGGATTTTCAAGCCGCCGTCTTCTGCCAGTTTCGAGCTCAGTTTTTTTGTTAATCGGGTTCGGCGATCGTTTTTTTTGGTTCCGTTGTCAGGCACTGCTCGTTGCCACGTGTTTTTCATGCCAGTTCCAAGCGCTTCATAATAACGCCTTCACCCATCCCACATCCGCCGATCATTTTTGAGCAGTTTGGTCAATGTGTTCTTTCCCGTTTTGGCACACCGATGTCTGTCCGTCTTCTGTTCGCGCTCGAACAATGTTCTTTTTGTGTTTGGCTTCCGGATTGTTTTTGTTTTGGTCAACCGCAACCAGGAACGCCGAAGACGGAAACAGCGTTTTTGAGATGAGCAGGGGCGGGGGGTGATAAAGACTTCCTCTGTTGGGTTTCCGGCTGACAAGAGGGAACGTAACTCGAGACAGTAATTTGGCAGTGAAGACATTCGTACGTCAGTAAGAAGATCAACCCGCCAATGAGGATAACATTCTGGATACCATATGAACCACCCACAGGCCTTGTCGGTGGCTACCCCATCACCATCATCGCCATCGTCGTCATCAGCATCGCAATTCTCAGACCATGAGGCTGATGATTGGTCCCACAGCGGCCTCCATAAGGAGCTCCGCCTCGAAGGCCGCAGTGGCTATGCCCGCGCGTTCGCACAAAGGATAAGGCCCCCCCCCGCTCAGTCCATCCACTTTTTTCGTGGGTGGATCTCTCGAGCTCTCCGCCGCCTCTGGCGGTGTGCGCTGCGAGCAGGAAAGCAGCGGAGCCGCAGGAAAGCGTGGCATTGACAGCGTAGCCCCGCGCACGCAACACGTGTTGGCGAGCAAGAGCACAGCAGCGCCCCGGGAGCGCGAGGCACTGACAGTGCCAGCGAGGCCTCTCCCGTTCCGCTCCTCACGCCTTCTGCGCGCTGCGTGCCGCCATGGGGATCTCCGCGTGAGGCCCCCGGTCGGACCTCCCGGCTCCCGCTCCGAGTTCCATACCCGCCCAGCTCCCGCTGCCAGTCGGACCTGGCCCGATGCGGTTCAGTCCCAGGGTTTCGACGATCCGATGCGTCCCGATGTTCGCGGGGCATTCTTGTGCGTCCCAGTGCGGCCGATCTGATTCGGCTCCGAGTTCGTGCCGATGCCGCCCGTTCCGACGCACACGCCGATCCGATCCGTTTTCCAGATTCTATGTTGATCGATCTTATCGTGACGAGGTACCACCGAGCGGAACACGGTCGAAGTCGTCCTTGATGCTACGTGCCCAATTAAGTGCAGACGTTATCGAATTTATGTTTATGGCTACGCCACACGTGTCGGCTATACTTTGATGTGTGTCATTATGATGAATGGTCGCTGGTGCCTGTGAGCTCTGAGCGGCGCATCATCGGAATGCTGTTGCCGGATGCGCGCGCGCGTCGCTAAAGCATGCGAATTTGCGTTTCGAGCAATTTCACCAATCCATCCAGTGACAGTCCATGTGCCTGTATTGGGGGAGACTTTGCGAGTTTATGATCTGGTCACGGTACGTTTTCGGCTCTTCTCGGCCATCTCAGAAGTCTCCTTTGTAAGTTCCGTTTTTTGTCTAGGGGAGATGTCGGAGACTCCTTTGGCCGTGGGACGTATTGGGGCCTCCCGGAGGCGATTTCGAGGCCTGTTGGTCTGCTTTGAGTGGACGAGGGTGATGTCAACAGAACAGTGGAAGGGAGTTGTTGGTCCTCTGGCGGAGGCCACACTGACTTCACAAATTTCTGGGTGCCTGCGGACAGCTAGGACACTGAAGTTGTGACGTTATTGGGGGTTTCCCTTGTCATTGGGTTGGGGGGACGTAGTGAGCGTGTTTTCCACCACCACCACCATAAGTTGGAGGGGGAAAGGAGGAGGAGGAAGGCGAGGAGGAGGAGGACGAAGAGGATGATGATGATGAGGAGGAGGAGGAGGCGGAGGCGGAGGCGAAGGACCCCCCCTCCAACTTATGGTGGTGGTGGTGGAAACACGCCCATCAGGACGGGTAAACCTCTTTCCTGGGGACTGGAGGCCTTCACATCGGAGACCTGGAGGCATTGGAGAGAGGAGCTGGGGCCAAGCACTTCAGGCCATCGCCCACGGTCTGCTCTGAAAGGGTGGTGGGATTGCTCCTTATAGTCAGCCAGCATAGTAAGGATGGGCAACCTTTCCCAGGGCACCCTTGCATCCTCGCCTCCTCGGTCCATCCTTCGCCACTTTCGTTGGCCGCGCTCCGCTCGAAAAGCTTCGAGATGGGCGCCCTAGGCCCTTGCACCCTTATCGCGCATCCTTACTATACTGATTGACTGTATCGGTCGAGCGTGAAACATCTTGGCCGCCTATCGGAGCTCGGCGGCGCTTGGCCTGAAGAGGTCGAGTCGCCCAGGAGGCCCAGAACCCTCCAGAAGGTCCAGCCAGCCTGGGCGGTCACCTTTCGCGAGGGAGAGGAACAGCGTGAGACATCTTCGAATCACTCCCATCCCCATACATCTGGCGTCTTGAAAAATCGTTTCGGCGGTTTTCCATCGCTTTCGGCCTCTCGGGGCCCTTGCCGGGCCCGGGACCGTCAGAAACGACTCGGGATGAGAAAGCGGCCCAAGGGAAGTTCAATTGGACGTAAGAGTGACCCTTCGCCGGAGTGACCTTTGGTGCGGGCTTATTGGGGTCCCCCGATCGCCGAACGCGGTACCATAGTAGCGTCTTGCGCGCTTGGGTTTGGGCCCTCCCGCGGTCCCCCGAAGAGCCGCGCACCAAAGGTCACTCTTACCCAGGGTCATTTTTTTGCGTGTGACCCAGAAGTGGCCGAGAGTGCGGGCCTCGAACCAGATCGAGACGGCGGACGTCTGGGTCCCCAGACCCCCGACGTCATGATTTTTGCATTGCGCCGACCCCCAGAGGTCTCGACCCATTCCCCGGTACCGGTTTTTCATCCTGAATCGTTTTTTGACGGTCCCGAGGGCCGGTCAGGGCCCCCAGGGGCCGAAAATAGCAAAAAAATCCGCCTTGATTTTTTCGTTGCCCGAGGGGGTCTGGGTCTCCAGCCCCTCACGGCGCCAGGCGATGCCCTCCGCGCAAACCCCCACCTGCGGGCCATCAACCTGTGGGGCAACCGGCTGTGCAACCGGGGCGCGGCGGCGCTCGCGGCGGCGCTCGAGGCCAGGCCGGGGGGGGCCCCGGCGGCCGGCGGCCTCGCCAATTGGCGGTGACGACGGGGCCGACGAGGAGGGAGGACGACGGGATACAGTCAGGCAGGCAGGCAGTGGCGAAGCGTCCTGGCGTGCCGATGGGCCTAGCAAAGAGTGTTCTAGGAACCTTTTGCGGTCTGCGCGCAGTGTGCTCAGAACATCTCTGGCTGGGACTGTCTTGGTTCCACGCATCGGGCTCATGCTCTAAGAGCATTGTTTGCAATTGGAGAGCATTTGTGGGTTCTAAGAACATGTCGTGGTATACGCCAATAGAAATGCCGGGACGGTCGGTCCCTGCTCAAGTCAGTGCCCCGACGACACCGATGACGGAGTATGATTGTTTTGGATCCCATCGTCGACGATGCTCGTTCGGTGCTGCACCGTAGGCAAATTGGCCCGAGGAGCCCCGAGGGGGTGGAACGCGTGTAGGGATACAGTCAGGGGCTGCCGGACCTCAGTTCTTGATGGTCAGCTTGCTAAGCTTGCCCGCCTCCGTACGTCGGGCAGGACATTGAAGATTACACTCGCACCACACTCCGCGAGCTCATCAGTCTGGTCGGTCAGGAACGTTCCTGTGTGAGAGTCCACCTTCCGCCACACTACGCATTTACCAAAATCATCAACCAGTCGCCGAACAGTCTGCGTGCTACGTTGGCCCCGTACTCCGAGTGATATTCTATGCAATGTGATGCAGAAGATGAGAACGACGATGATGTACGGATATGACTGTTTATGGAAGACAAGGCGACAAACATGGCGCTCAGTTCATCTACGTTGTTCGAACGCCTGCACGCACCAATGCAGCCAGGATCGGTTTCAGCAAGGGTGGGATGCTCGCAGAAGTCCACCAGCGGAGCCATATCGTGCAAGGATACAGTGAAACCCCAACCGGGAACATCCTCGACGTCCACGCTCTTGGAGGATTCGTCGCGCGACACGACAATCCCAGCAGGGCGCTGAAATGCCGGAGGGGCTGGTCGAGCAGGAGCAGAAGGTTCCCGGTGAGCACGCCGTAAGGGTTGAGGTCCGCGCCCAGGCCTGATCCTCGTCAGAGGCGGAAGAGCTGACCGGAAGATCTGCAAAGGCCGCGACCGCGGCAGCACCAGGTCAAGAGCCGCTGGCTTCCCACTTCGACGGTCCACCAGGGCCTGCGTGGAGATGACGTTCACCCCTAATTATTGTATTGGCATGTTCGGGGGGAAACGCGTAGCCTTTCTTTTCGCTGGAGACTCGATTCCGGCTAAGCACAAGGCCGACAAGGAGGGAGGACGACGACTACAACGACGTCGGGATACAGCCAGGAACTTATGCTCAGCGTGTTGCGCCGCTGCTTCTGGCCCCATCACGCCTCGGCGCGACACGCCAACCACGTCCCAGTCCCCAGGCGTCAACGTCCCGAGCTTTGCCATTCTCTCGCCCAGCGGAGCGGGGCGACACGCTATCCACTTGCAGGGCATAGCGTGTCCCCGGGGACGCCGCCTCGACACCCTCAGCAAAAATCGTCGACACCGTGTCCATGACTCACTGTGCAGGTGCCACTCCACGCCGCACCCATGGCCAAATAGCTGAGGACGAGTCGGCTTGGCACTGTCCTCGTGCACAAGCCGAGCGCGTCGGGCAAGGCAGGGGCTTTGTCGCCAGCGTGCCCCCCCCCCCTCGCAGCCTCTCCCCTCACTGGTGGGGGGCTCTGAGGGCATGGTCCACCTGCTAATGCGGTTTTCAGCCGCGCGCTCCACAAGAGCGAGCAGAGGAGCGTGGTGCTGGGAGGCTCCCGCGAGGAGTGCGCGTTGAGCTCTTGTTCCTTGGCCCCTGGGGGCTGTGGTGTGTGGTATCGGAGGTCATCTCGGCTTCCCATGCGCCTGCTGGAGGTCCCGTTGGGAGCCGCTTTGGGAGCCTGCCTGGGCTCCCTGGACCATCTTGGAGAGCAGCGCGGCCGTCTGGGGCGGTCAGCGGGCCTCTTGAGGCCTCCCTTACGACTGGCCGGTCCTGGGCCCACTTTGGAGCCTCGCGGCGATTTTGTGCCGTCTTGGAGGCCACCGGGGCTTCCGTGCGCCATCTTGGAGCCAGGCCTCCTTCCCCTTTCCTGTTTTGCGGCCGTCCTGCGCGTTTCCACCTCCTCTAGTGCGCCCAGTGTCCCGTGCGGCCCGTCGGCCCTGCAGTCGCGGTCGTGTCCGCCAGCGCTGCGAACAAAGAGCGCCATCTTGGAGCCACTCCGAAAAAATCGTGCGCGCCTCGTGGGGGCTTCTCTGAGGCCCTCGTGGGGCAATCTTGTCGACCTTCGGGGCCATCGTGTGCCATCGTGAAAGCCACACTGGGGATCTTGAGCTGCTTCGGGGGCCACCACCATGGCGTCGCAACGCCCAGGGAGTCTCGAAGGGCTACGGGTATGAGAAAATCTTGACGCTTCGCTTGACGCTGGCATCCTGGAGCCAATTCACTCGCATGGTGCATCAGCTGCCCTGGCCGCTTGCAGTCAGCTCAGCCATCTCCCCATCAGCCCGCGGCCCCACCAGCGGTAGGTTCTGAGCGCGGGCTCGGCCGCTGTGCTTTTAGGCTTGCGCGTTGCTAATTTGACAGGCCCGTGGTCCGGACCTCTCAGCTCGGCGACTGCGAATCCGCGTCCGCCCGCGACAAAAAAATATCCCCACCACCCCATCCAGAAACGATGCCCATGAGAGCTGACGGGGGGAGAGGACAAGGTACGCATAGCCAAACAGAGAGGGAGGCTTGGGAGGCTGCGTGGCCATCTCGAGCCGTCTTGGAGCGGTCTTGGGGCCGTTTGGAGCATCTTGGGAGCCATCTTGAGCCAGTTCGGGCTGTCTGAGCCATCTTGGAGGTCATTTTGAGCTCTGTGAGGCCGCTCGGGGGCCTCTTGGGTACTGTTTCGGGTGTCTATTGGAGGCCTCTTGGGGCTTCTTGGGGCGCTCTCTGGGCCCTCTTGGGAGCCTCTTGGGAGCCCTGGAGGGCCTCTTGGGGCCATCTTGGAGGCGGTCCATCAAAAAAGGGGGTTCCCTTATCTCCGTCCCCCCCCGGGGGCCACGATCCTCGTGAGGGGTGTCAAAGATTGGCCCTCCCAGGGGGCCGAAAAAAGGACGCTCTAACTCGTCGCGACCCCCTCCCAAAAAAATCCTCAGGGAGGGGAGGGGGGGGTCCCTTCCCCGAAGGGAAGAGGGATTCAAAGAGGAAAGAAACCCTCCTTAGACCACCTGTCGCCCAAAGGGCTGGCGGGATTCCAGAAAGCCAGCCGGAGGCTTTGGCATTACCCCATACCGCTCCGTGACGGGCCAGGTTTGACACAACTGCGAACTCCTGTTTCTGCGCCCGCTAGCTTGATCGTCGACTGCAGCGGTAAGGTGGTCCCGGCAGCTGGGTCCTGACCAGCGCAATCGCCCACAGGCCTGACTAGGCCCAGTGTCTCGTGCGAATGGAGCAATGAAGAGGAATATGAGACGGGGGAGGAGGAGCGTGGATTTGATTATCAAAATTGGCATGCTTTTGATACGCCGGTTTTGAGGTTCGCTGGGTAAGGTATCCGTTAAACGCGTTGTGTGGTTATTCCTTTTCGATCGCATCATGCTATCACAGTTGATGTTCTCGAAATATACGCTGTGGGAGTAAGGTGTCAGATGCCATCGGTTGGCTTCAAACACCGCTCTGCAATAGTCACGGGAGTGTGGGCCGCAAGTGTGGTCTAAGAACGATTCGGTTGTATGTGTTGTTTCCATAACTCGCGTTTTTTTTATGAATCATTGGCTTGTGTTCTCCGCCTTACTGTGTGACCAATTGCTCATCTTGCCTCATTGCTGCACGATCGCTTATGCGCCCCATGCAGTATATACGCACATGCATCAGCGAACAAACTCACATCGACTCACACCCGCACATTTACATGTTCAGGGTCAGTGAGAGACATAATGGGAGGAACTAGAGAGAGAGAGAGAGAGAGAGAGAAAAGCAGGGATACACATACACAGATAAAGAGAGGGAGAGAGATGATGATCGTTGCTTCCTGCATTAACGCCAGTCGTGGTGGCTACTTTGCAATGCAATAGTATCTCGCCCGTTTCGCAAGGCGAACTTCGGCCTGCAGTATCTCGGTCTCGGCCGCAATCTGATCACCCACGAGGGGCTTGAGAGGCTCTGCCAGAGCGCAATCGGCTTAGAGATGATGGGAGGGTGCGGGTGCAGATGCTGGTTGGCCGCGCGTGCTTCGCACAGGCCACCTCGAACCCGACGGGTAACGATCGGAATGTGCTCTGGGTTTTTGACGACGCAGAGTATGACGACGAGGCCGCGTATGACGACGTCGGCGACAACGACGACGAAAGCGACAACAACGACGACGATAAAGGCGTTGTATACATCCCGATCGCCTTGCCAAGGTCGGTTATATCCAGGTTGACTCTGACAAGCAGGCCGCGAACGTTCAGAAGGCCATCAAGGACACCCCGTCACCCGTCAGCGGTTGCCCGAGCGCAGCGCCACACCAATTGCCGCTACTGTTCCGCCCTCCTCCCCCTCCTCCTCCTCCTCCTCCTCCTCCTCTTCCTCCTCCTCCTCCTCCTCCTCCTCCTCCTCCGCCCCTCCGTAGCCATTTTGGCTCAAGTCCGTCCCCTCCGTGGGATCTCGGACTTGGGCAGAAATGGGTCCCACAGCTGTTTCGCCCAAGGCCCCCTGGCCGAGCGCAGCGCCGCCCGCGTCTGACGGCGTCCATCCATATCTATGCAAAGGCTGGGGCTGCTGAGCCTCCTGCCGCTGCTGTGCGCAGTCGCCATGCCGCACACGCGATCCCTGGCGGCCTCGTACACCCGCACCTGCCGAGGGCTGCAGCGTGGTCGCGCACGCCCACGCGGAGCAGCATGCCGCCACGTCATTCGTCTTCATATTCTCGTCCCTGGCGCCGCGGTGGCGCGCTCGGCTGATGGCGACCCCGTCCACGCCGAGCTAGCACACCAACGTCACATGCCGAACGAGCTGCTCCCGCTCTACCCGCTGGGCGTCTGCGGCAGCCACGAGCCCCACAAGGTCGCGAACTTCATCCAGCGGCGTCGTGTGCCTGCTGGGCTCCGTGATGGTGCTGGACCTCCGCGCGCTGCGGTGCCCATACGAGCAGTCCTGCGGCACGGAGCTGACCCTCTTCCTCCGCCTGCACGTCAAGCTCACCTTGCCGCTGGGCCCGATGCCGACGGTGTCGCTGACGATCTTCTGCATGACCCACGCCACATTCCTGGAGCCGCCCTTGGCCGTGTTCCCCGTGGCGATGCCGCGCCTGAAGCTCTACGCACTGGTGCTGGACCGCTTCCACTACACGTTCTTCAACATGGAGCTGGGCCTCTTCCTCGGCGTGGCTCTAACGCTCCTGAACCTGCTTCGCATGCCACTGCCGCGGGTGGTGTCCGTCCTCGTGGCGCCGGTGGTGCTCTCGATACTCTTCGGCCCGTTGTGCATGCCGCTGCCGCTGGTAGCGCCCGTCTTCGTGATGTACCTGTCCTGCGTGCCGTTGCCGCTGGTGGCGCCCGTCCTCGTGCTGCTGGCGATGCCCTCGCTGCTCTTCGCCCCGTTGTCCGCGAATGGCACCGGGCCGCACGGCGCAAGACGCTACTCCAGAACAGGCCGTTCATCCGCTGCTTCGACGCGTGGTTCGACCTTGTGTTCGACGCCCCCCTGTCCTCGGAGTGCGACCAGACCGTCGAGGATACCGCTGCACATGATGATGCTGCCGCTGGTGGCGAACCAGTCAACGACGACGCCGCCGAGCGTGGCGAACAACCTGTTCTCGCAGCACATCCTGCCCGTCGACCTGACGATCCTGATGCCGCCGCGCGCGGTGCTCGACCCCTACACGATGCACATGCCGATGTTGCCGTTGGTGGTGTACCAGGACACGATGGCGCTGCCGCTGGTGCCGAAGGGCCTGTTCTCGTAGTACTTCCTGGCCTTCGTCCTGTCGGTTCTGATGTTGCCGCGCGTGGCGCCCGACCCCTACATGTTGAATCAGCTGGTGCTGCCAATGGTGGCGAACAAGTGCACGATGACGCTGACGACGCCCCTGTTGCTGCCGCTGTCCTACCCGAGTGAGCCCAGCATGACTGGGCAGCTCCTGGCATGCCGTTCTTTCGGCGCGCGGACTTTCTGCAACTACGATGCTGCAGTACGATTCACTTGCCGTGTAGATGAACTGGTGCGCCGAGCTGCTGAGCCTCATCCTGAAGCGCCACGGGGCGATCGAGTGCATGATGTTGCCGCTGGCGCTGTCGCTGCTGTCGCACGACGCCAACACGCAGCCCCTTTTCCCGCAGCCGCTGGTGATGACGACCACGAGTGGGGAACCTGCTGGGCCTACGAGCGCAAGGGATGGCACGGATCGGCTGACGCTACCCATCCCGCACAAGCCGAAGAAATTCTGCATGACGCTGCACGCGATGTTCTGCCGCCTGGAGTGGCTGCCGCTGCTCATGAGGCCCCTGGGGCCACCCGCCAATGTAGCATTGAGCCTTCCGTCTGGCTCACCCCACCCCTCCCCGTCCTGTCTTCACTGCCACCCATCCCTGCGTTTCCCGCTTTCCAGCATGATCCTCACGATTTACATTCCGCTCCCAGTGTATGGCCCCATGACCCCCCACCATGCGCGTGGCCAGAGCGAAGAGCGCCGCCAAACGCACTGCTCTGGAAGTAGGCTGAGCCACGGCGGGACGCGAGCAGACATCTTGCCCTCGTCTCGCGTCTTGCCCGCTTGCCCTCGTCTCTTCCTCTTCGAGTACGTGCATTCCTCCTCCTCCGTCCCCTCCCTTCCTCCCCCTTTTCTCCATCCCTTCTCCTCCTCCTTCTCCTCCTCCTTCTTCTCCTCCTCCTCCTCCTCCTCCCCCTCCTCTCCCTCCTCCTCCTCCTCCTCCTCCCCCTCCTCCTCCTCCTCCTCCTCCTCCTCCTCCTTCTCCTCCTCCGCCCCCTTTCCCCCCTCCCCCTTTCCTCCATCCCTCCTTCTCCTCCTCCTCCTCCTTTCTCCTCCTCCTCCTCCTCCTCCTCCTCCTCCTCTTCCTCTCTCCTCCTCCTCCTCCTCCTCCTCCTCCCCCCGCCTCCCCCTCCTACTCCCCCTCCTCCTCCTCCTCCTCCTCCTTCTCCTCCTCCTCCTCGTCCTCCTCCCCCTCCTCCCCCTCCTCCTCCTCCTTCCCCTCCTCCCCCTCCTCCTCCTCCTCCTCCTCCTCCTCCTCCTCTTCCTCTTCCTCCTCCTCCTCCTCTTCCTCCTCCTCCTCCTCTTCCTCCTCCTCCTGCTTCTCTCATTGTGCCTTGCGCACTGGCGCTGGAATCAAGCGCAGTCGCCGCCGCACCAGCGCGGTCTCGCGTCAACTGTTGCCGACGAGGCCCGATGATGGTGGCAAGGCCGGGCAGATGGCGGTTGATCATTAGTTTGTACGTTTGTCCTTGAAGGGGGTCCACACCCCGTCAAAAGGGTGTGTGGACCCACGCGAACGAGCTGTGATTCTGGAGGACACTGAGTCCTCTACCGGCTCCCTGGGCCCCAAGGTCTTTTCCCGGCGTTGCCACGGTATCCCTTCAGGACGGTAACAAACAGAGCCCGGCAGAAAACACATGTTTTGATGTTCTCGTTTCCCTTGCAGTGGTGAACGTTAGCCTGGCGCTGCCCGTCAACATTGTCGGTTTTTCAGGCTGGCTGCTCGCCATCAGCCCCCCCCTTGAGCGGTAGTTCTCAGGCCTTCCTCTGATTTCTTGTTATGCTATGTCTTTACCTCGCGAGGACTCCCAGAAGTCTGGGGACAAGAAGGGCAAAACCGTCGTGAAGAAGGCCCCCTGCGGAAGGAGGATGCACATAATTATCGCTGTCAGGAAGAAGTGTTTGACACCACTGGATAGGAGCAAGCGTAATTCAGGAGGGAAAGAAACACACAGACACACTTCATCGTCGACCCCCAGGAAGATATGGGAAAATATTGGAAGTGGGGGGAAGACGAGAGCCCAGAAAACTTACGAAAATCTGGAGAATCCTTGGATTGGTGCGTATTCGTTTTTGTGTCCATGGGCCCCTTCAGTCAGATCGGTTTCGACATATGGTGCACGCGCCAACGCCACAGGCGCTCGCGAGTTTAAAACGGCTCCTTCGAAAAGAATCCTCTGCTGACGTTGAGTCGGGCATGTCCATCTACAGGAGGAATTCGCAAGAATAGTCAAAAATAGCCTGGAGACGTTTTTTCTACCATTTGTAATTCTTGTTGGGGGTATGTGTTGACTATTCTTAATGTTTGGCAAACCTTCCGCCTGTAGGATAACATGCCTGACCGAATGCTGATGTTGCAACTGGCAGAGGGGGTGAGGGGCCCTGCTCCTGTTTCTGCTATTTGACGTCGTCTTCCCACAAGGCTCGCCTCCCCCTTCCCCTCTTCCATGCATGGACAATATCAGCACATACCTCCAGTGCTCCCTTCCAGCGCGGCGCTCGCTTCGCTTGGGCACTCCGACTTTCTTATCTTTGTTACGTTAATCGGCTCGCCGCGTGAAAGCCATATCCTGCTCTTGTTTCTCTTGGACACCCAACAAGTGGGACCGTTGATGACTCACAGGTTCTATCCCTCTAGTTGGCCTGCGGTCACGAGGTCCTGCTAGAAAATTGACTTGAGGTCGATCCTACGCCTTCAGTGTGCTTTCGCTTGTCCCATGCATTTGGCGCGTCTTCTGTGTGTGTGTCTTCGTTTCTTGTGTGCCCTTTCCGCCAACCAAGCGTGTTGTATTTGCTCTGGCGCCTTTTCGGTGTATCCTCGATTACGCGCGCCAGCAACACGCTCAGGCATATGTACCCACCTCAGGCGAATGATAGATTTGGCCATGCCTGGCTATGATGTGCAGCCGGTAGCATTCATCCCCGCAGATGTCGCGAGGTTGGGTGGGGGTCTGCATTCGGTGCGAGTTTGTGTGCACACCTCGTGATTCCGTGGAGTTGCCACTTACAGTGCGTTTTTGAGCAATGTGCTCAGGGGGGGGGCGGTCACGGGTTGCCCCTGACCTTGAGGCCGTGCGGATACCCGCCATTGTGTAGCAGTTAGTTGTTCATCGGCCACCTGGTTGTCCATTCGAGGTCCACCCCATATTCGACGTTATCTGCCGGTCTGCAATCTCTCGTTTGCCGGGAACTTGGCCTCAGGGCCGCAGACCATCTTGCAGGGGGCACTCAGAGTGCAAACTAAGTAGCGTCCTCTGCACCCAGGGCCTCCCCGGAGTGTCCCCGGGTTGCGCCGGGGGGCTCCCAGAGCACCGAAGAATCTCCGAGAGTGTCCCTGGAAAGCGCAAGAGGGTCCAGAGAAGGTCCCAAGACGGTTCAAGATGGTTCCGAGACGGCCCGAGGGCGCTCCAAGACGCCCAATATTAGCTCAAGATAGCCGAACATGTTCCCAGGACGGCACAAGATGGCTCTAACGGGCAAAAATGATTGCTTCTTTAGTACAGTTTCAGAAGACGTGCGTGCTCTCTGATTTTCTGGTTTCCGACCGCCCGAGACGGCCCAAGAGGCCCCGAAGGTCACCCAAAGATTGCCAAGCGGCCCCGAAATCGGCCCAAGGGGGCCCCAAGGCAATTTTTGAGGCCCCAGGAGGAAGGCGATGGGGCCTTGAGAGCCTTTCCCTTAAGGGTTCTTTCGAAGATCCCCAGCCTGTCCCCAACAGGCCCCCAAGAGGCCCCCGAGACATGCCCAAGAGATTCCAAGAACCTCTCGTCCCTGGCACGGCGTCCAGCTTGTCCCAATGCGGCGTCCAGCCGCTCTAAGCTACGAGGCAACCAAGACGGCCCAGAGGAACCCGAGATCGCCAAAGAGGTCCCCGTGACGGACCAAGTGCCCATGACGGATCGAAAATTGGCCCAAAAGACCCTGAAGACGGCCAGGGGACCCTCAATACGGCTCCAGAGCGGCCTCGCAAGACTCCCAAATACGGTTGGAGGTGGAAGGGAAGGCGGAAAGCCAGCCTTCCATCGTCCCTCCTCCCTCCTCCTCCCTGCTCCACCCTCTCTCCTCCTCCTCCTCCTCCTCCTCATCCTCCTCCTTTTTCCTCCTCCTCCTCTCCTCCTCTTCCTCCTCCTTTTTCCTCCCCCCCCTTCTTATTATAGTATATTCCTTCTTCCCCTCCCCCTTTCTTCTTGTCCTCCCCGCCCTTGGTCTTCCCTTGCCTCTCCTCCCTTTTCCATACTTCCTCCTGCCCTCCCACCTCCGTTCCTGGACGTTGGCTGTCGGATAGCGCTGAGGCGTGGTGGGCAAGCAGGAGGGGGAGTGTCATGCTAGTGTGTAGTAAGTTGCGCACCCCTCGCCCCAACCCCGTCACTGACCTGAATCGTGCACTTGGCAACGAAACCGTTGGATTCGGAATCCGCGTTTGAGGCCGCGTCCCTCATGTACGCTTTACGCCCTGTGCGAGTCTGCGAGACATATAGACCTTGAGCGTGCGCGAAGGGCCTGTGATGGTTATAGTGATCACGTCTGCCAAGCTGATGCGGGGCTCCTGTAGTTGCCTTGCCGTATCCAATCATCGAGCGCTGGGGGCATCGGTGGGGTAGTAGCTTCTTGAGCCGCCGAGGGTGTTCTGTCTCTCCACCAATTGCCTAACGTCAGTGTCCAGGTGTCGCGAAGTCTGGGTGTCTGAAGGGTCGGTTGCGCGTCTCAACAGGACGGGCGCGGCCGAGACCGGTATACGCCAGAACCACGTTGTGATTCTCTCGAAGAGCTGAAGGACAGCGCGGTTGCCCCCCAGGTTGCGCGCGCGTGGTCAGTGGTTGTGGGCCAGCGAGTTAAAGCGTTTGTGAGAGGTGACCGTTGCATCATCTGCTGATTGTTTACATGTTGTTGTGTCCGTTGTAGTCCCTTCTCGCTATTCCTTTACATGTTTCAGGAGCCCTACGAGAGTGTGCAGAACCCGTATGCGTTATATGCATGTTGCGCCTCTGCCGCTGGCCACCGTGACGGATGGTTGTGTATATGTGTACGGATGGATGTATGGACGGACGACCGCGTACATTCGAGTTGCGTGTTGTTGGACAAGTGGATGTGATTACGCGTTTTTAGGTCGCTGGCTATGGTTCGTCGGACCGTTCGCTTGATGTTGGTCCGCATAAGAGCTGCATGCTGTTGCTCATCTGGATGCGATGTGTGTCATGTCACGTCCTCTAGGATTCCAGTCGATTCTTGATTGCTTGCGAAATGTATTAGCTCAGTGGAGCTGCTGAGGATTGTGCAACTCCAGTCGCTGTTCAACGGTTTTCGGTCTCCGAGTTTCAGGGGTTTCATTTGGAGCGAGGTGTTGTTCATTGAAGTTAAACGCTCGCCTTTACCAGGCCAACATTTGATGCGGGTGTTTTGTCTGTGACGGTCTGCAGCTCTGCTCACAGGAGTTCGCCGCTGGTTCGGCCCTTGGCGAGCAACTTACATTGGAAAACCATAGTGTTGGGAGGTTTTTTAAGGGGCTGCATTGGTGAGATCTCCTTTGTTCGCGTCTCCCAGCAGGACCCTCGTACTGGAAATACTTACTGGCTCTGGGGTCGCAACTTGGCTCTCAAGGTAAGTGTATTGCGTTCTCTGCCTGTCTGCTAGCAGTATTGTCCGTCTCCTGTTTCTGGATGTTGCATGGCGGGTTCCGCGATGAGGGTGTTCCGCAGATTGTGAAGGCCTAGCGGCCAGTGCCGCCGACCCTGAAAGACATCGACGAGGACCAGGAGGAGGAGGAGGAGGAGGAGGCGTGTTGCCTGGCGGGTTCCGCGATGAGGGTGCTCCGCGGATTTCCGCACAGACTTCTGATGGCATGTGTTCCCGCACGCGTGGACCCCGGTGCCGCGGGTGTCCGCGACGAGAATCGGCCGCGTGTCGAGGGGGGAGTGAGAGGCGGGGCAAACTGCGGGGGGGAAGACGAGGACGAGGAAGGATTGAGGAAAGCGGCCCGCCGCCACCACTAAGAGGAATCAGAAGCCTGGCAACGGCTGGCAAATCCGTGGCTGCTAAAACAGAGCTCGGGGAAATTTGTTTCTGCTTCCGGGAAACAGCCCGTTTACTATACTTGTCGCGCGGAGGTTTATTCCGGGAAGTTGTTTTTTCTTTCCGGGAAGACCGTTTTAGCAGCCACGGATTTGCCAGCCCCCGCCCAGCTTCCGAAGGAAGTTTCAAACGAGTACACGGGGGAGGAAGTCTCCCCTCGAGCTCGCCGCTGCTCTGCTCGAGCGCCAGGGCGCCGACGATAGGAACAGGCCGCCCCTTGAAATCGAACCGGACGGGGAGCAGGCCTTCTCAGACAGCGGCGGGGCTTCCCAGAAGGCCGGCGGAGGCGTTCTGAGTCTTCTGGGAAGGCCCGCACTCTGGGCGCGCCCAGAGTGCGGGCCTTCCCAGAAGACCGCTGGGCAAAAGCCCTGCGCCCCAGTCAGAACGCTCCCCGGGCGGGAGAGGTGCAGGGAGCACTGACGTCGGTATTCTCCTGGCCTCCCCAGACACAGTCCGACGGCCAGGATCGCGGTGCCTCCGAGGCCGGAGCCCGTGATTCTCCACCGCCTGGGGCAGCGGTTCCCCTCGGACCCTGCTGAGCGGGAAGGTCTGGCGGAACGACCACGGAGCTGGAAGGTCCTCGAGATGGCCTCGCCGGGCGTGGGCGCCCACCGAGGGCGCGCTCGACTCGGGGTGCATCGCGCCGCGTTCGACTCGAGAGCCTCGGGAGGCGTGCGCAGGCCACGCCACACTCACATCAGGTCGGGCGTGTCCCCCTACAGGGGGATGTTGGGCGAAAAATAAAGCATAGTCGAAGCATATCCCCCAACTATGAAAAATTAGTCAAACATAGCTGTCCCCAGACTATTTTGTGACTATTTGTGCATATTCCTCCTGTGGCGGGACAGGCCCGACTTAACACTTACGTACTTGCAGTCCCTTCGCGACTGCGCTTGCCCGTCGTCCGTGCGGACTAGCAGGCGTGTGCAGCTGGGCGAGGACTGGAGCTGGCCCGCACTCGCTCGAGGGACAGGTCGCGCAGAACACGGGCTCCGTCGCGTCTGCCCTCTGGTTGGGGCCCGAGCACAGAGCAGCAGCAGCAGCAGCAGGAGCTGAGGGAACAGGAGGAGGAGGAGGAGGAGTAAGACGAGGAGGAGCAGGATGCAGAGGATAATCTTGCCAAGACGTATGATGCAAGACAGATTTCCCACCCGTCGAAATATGCAGCGCGGTTCTTTGGCTTGGCTTGATGCTGCCGCCGTTTTCCTCCTCCTGCGAATCGGCTCTCCGCTCCCAATTCTCAGTATCGTGCCTGTTGCCCCTCCCATCACCCTTGACATGTTATACCTTTCCCAGCTGTGCAAGAGCGACATGAGATCGCGATGATATGGGAGTAGAGGGCGAGGCATGCGAGAAAGGGATGGTGGCGAATATCGGAGATGGGTCATGCATGGGAGTTGCGAATGTCAGGAGGAGTAGGGGAGGATGAGGACAATAAGGAGGAAAAAGAGGAGGAGTGCGAGAGGAAGTAGACGGATGGCGTGGGAGGCGGTGGAGGCAGAAGGGGAAGAGGAGCTCGAGCAGGATGAAGAAGAGCTGAAGGTGGATCGAGGACGCATGAGGGTCAGGATAAGCGTGCCCCAGGCATCCCCAACGCCATTCAGGGCTTCCTGGAGTCTCCCGGGACTCTCCCGGGATTTCCGGGCGACCCGAGCGTCTACCCGAGATGCACGCGATGTGTTTCGGTCTCTCCCCCTGGGCTCCGGGGGCATCGAAGAGAGCCTCTGCAGGCACGTCGAAGTGCTCTTCCGAGTTCGATCCTCCCCGCAGATCTGGGCGTTGCCCCCCAGCCTCTGTTTGCCCTCCCCCGCGCCCCTTGGCCCTCGGCTGTTGCGCCAGACGCTGGCCCTGGACGACAACCCCATCACGGACGCCATGGTAGTTCTCCGGCTCAGGCGGCAGAGGGGGCAAGCGGAAGGGCAGCGAGGTGCGGGCGCCGGACGACACGCTTCTTTTCTCTTCCGTGGCATCCGCCGATCTCTCTTGGCCTCGGGGGGGCTTTTCGGGAGTTCTTTCGGCCTTCGTGGGGCCATGTCGGTCCGTTTCGGGGCCTTCTTGGCGGGTTTGGAGCCCGTCTGATTACTCCAGAGGCCGTCTTGGGGGCTTCTCGCGGCCGCCTTGCGGCGTTCTTGTGGTCCTCTTGGGCTGTTTTGGGGGCCTCCTGGACCGTGTTGCGGGCCGTTTTTGGTCGCTCCGGGGCCGTCTTGGGTCCCTGTTGGGGGGGTTCTTGGGCCTTCTTGGGGCAATTTTGGCCGCTGATTTGGCAGTCGCTGATTTTTGAAAGTCGACGCGCGCGAGAATGTTAAAGTCTGTCTAAACCAATGAAACATCTATGTTTTTGGCCTCTGGGGGCGCTGTTGTGGGCGCTCTTGGGGCCCCTCTTCGGCCGTCCTGAGGGCCTCGCGAGCTCTGCATGGGCCATTTTGGGCAGTTTGTTGGGGCTGTCTTGGCCAGCCCCGAGGCCATCCTGGGCAATTGTGCAGCAGCCTAAACTTTCCAAGAGGCCCCAGAGGCCCAAATTGCAGATGTCCTAGGTTTTGTTTATTGGTTTCGAGAGCCCGAGAAGGGGGGCATCCATCCTGGGTCGGCGGGGTGGCGCGACTCCAAGGGGGGGTTCGGGGTGGAGACGTACTGATGTAAAACAGTACAACCTGTGGCAATTATACAACGATTGGATACAGTGGACACGTTGCGTTATCGCCTCGGCAGAAAACGCTGCCGCTCAGCACGTCACTTCCGGACGTCGGTTCACTGGCTTACGCCACGCCGCCGACCCAGTTGGGGCCAAGCTGTGCGGTCAGCAAGAAGCGACGAATAGGCAGCATTCAGGGGTATTTGAAGGCCTTTCGGTGGTTTCTGGTATTATTTTCCTCTCAGCGTGCTTCGTGGGCCCCTCTAAGGCCAAACTGGTCTGTTGGGGTGATTTTCTGGGATATTGGGAGCCTCGGAGGCCATCGTAGACGCTCTTGTGCCGAACCAGGGAGGCGCTACACATGCGCGCTTTCCTGGGCGATTGAGACGATGCTTGCCTCTTGGCGGTCCTCTTGGAGACATGTTGGGGCGTTGCTGAGGCCTCGCAGGTTGTCTTGAGCCCATCGGGGGCCGTCCGAGTGGGCTCCCACCGGAGGGGCTCGGGGAGTGGCAACTACCCCATATGCACAGGAACGCCGAGGGGCTGGCGAATTTGAGCATACCTGTGGCTCTGCGTGCTTTCTGTATTTGTTTTCGTGCCTGTCGACGCCAGGAGGGATCTCTAGCACGCGTCAGGTCTCTGTTCTCGCGCGCGATTTATGTGGTGGGGCCATGGGGTCACGAGCGCGCGGCACGTGCTTTGACGTCCGTTTGGCTGTCGCATGTGTCTGCTGCGTCGGTCTCCGGGTAGAGGCCGGTGCCCAGGAACCCTGTTGCTATAGACATAGATGCGCAAGTGTCTAAACCCTCCTCGTGGGCGCGACGTTGTCTGGCGCGTGGTCTGGTGCTTGTGCTGTTTCCCTCAGCTTTCCTCTTCCGTCGTGAGTGAAAAGCACATACGTACCTAGACGACCACCATTCGGGTGAAAAGGAGGTTCGGGTGGGGAGCCAACGTCTCACGCAATCGGTCCCACCATCGATCTCACGTTCGATCTTACAATCGATCTCGCTATCCATGTCACTGTCAACCTTCCTTACTATATCGGTCTCACTCTATCGATCTCACTAGATCGATTTCACTCTGCCGATCTCACTGCCGACCTCAATCGATTGCACCGTCCGACTCTCTACCGATCTCATTATCGATCTCAGTTTATCGGTCTCGCTGTCGATCTCACGGTCGATTTCATTGTCGATGACTTCAGTATCGTTCTCCCGATCTGCTTCGGGATCGATCCCGCTATCGAGTTCACAATCGATCCCACGACGGGACACCCCCGACCGTCGCCAGGCAATCCGGGGGGGGCTAATTTTTGGCCCGGCGGCGCCTTAGCCAGAGGAGGGTTCATTCTTCTCGCCCGTCCACGCAGCTTTGCCTCACTCGCGCGCGCGACACGAACACGAAACTGAAACTGACTTCCCGGTGGGTGGCTCTCCGTCTCTCTGCGATCTCACCCCCTCGCCTCCGATCCACGGCTTCGCGGCCCGGGCATCGGACCGCGATCCTGCGAATATGGGGCGTTTGTGAGCGGATGGCCCGTGCGGAATGCGCCCATGCGACTGCGTATCCACGGGGCTGCGCCCAAGACTCCAGACCGCTAGTGTGTGGATATGGTCGGGC